CCTAATGCCCCAGTATAGTGACGGGGACACTATACTGTAAAACAGGCGCTGTCCTTCGGATGAGACGTCAAACCGAGGTCTTGTTTCTCTGTGATCATTAAAAATCCCAGGGTGTTTCTTGAAAAGAGTAGGGGTGTAACCCTGGTGTACTGGCCATATTTCCCATTGGCCCTTACCAATCATGGCCTCCTAGTAATCCCCTTTGAGTGGAGTGTCCGGAAAAGTGCTATATAAGTGTAAACAATTATTATTAATTATTATTACCTGCCAGCACGTTGTTGAAGGCCGTCTCAACGTTGGTGGACTCCAGGGCCGACGTCTCCATGAACAGCAGTCCCCGCTTTTCTGAGGAGGGGAAGGCAGAGACCGGGTTGTCATGAGTGTGTGCGTCCACACACACCCAGCCAGGCACCCCGACACCGCCTGGCACACATGCTGCTGCTGGCCTGTCTGAGCAGGACCTGTGCACTCAAGAAGACTGAAAACTAGTTCTCTAGTGTATCTCTGGGTTTTCATTCCAGCTTGACCCTTCACTCCCCTACATCAGCTCAGTTATTGACTCAACTGGACCAACTCTCTCAGTTCATCGGGTTCTAGTGTCTGAAGGTCTGAACCAGCAGGCAGATCAGTTATGGGCACCCGTGAACACGAGTGACTGAAGACCCAGTTGAAAAACTAGAAGACAAAGCAGGCGCTCAGACCCAGGTCTGTAAAGACACGGAGATAATCTGCAGACACACTGGCCATCCAGCACCAGGACTGGACACCCCTGACTTCAGAGAGGAAATCCAGTTTTAATTTGACGGAATTGACCACAGGTTCTCTGGAATTTCCCAGACTTCCCTGGCTCTGTCACTAACAGTGAGCAAGTTCCTGAATCTCCTTCTTCTTCTTCCTTCAAAACAGACAGCGACCCAACTTACTTCATTAAAATGACTCCAAAGCTTTATATGTTGATCTCCTAATTTACCGCCTGGTCTGTCTGTGTTTTGGCTAAATGACTAATTAGTGTTCCGGTGTTTCTAAGATCAATGGGAAAGGAAGACAGAAGACACCACACTGGGATTCAACAGCATGGAGTTATGGAAGTCAGATTCCACTGAGTGTCCAAAGTCATTCCAAGGTCTCTTTTCCCATTTTCCTTGCACTCTTGATGTGATGCAGCCAAGCATGTGATCGTGAGCGCACAGAATTCCTCACCATGTTCTCAGTCCTTTTAGAGTGCAGGTTGAGCATGTTCTCTGCAGCTGTGTAAATATCGGAGCGCTCAGTCAGGAACTGGGAGAGGTGGAGCCTCCCGAGTGGCTCAGGCAGTGACCTGCTCAAGCGCAGGCTGAGATCTGTTAGCATGGGCGTGAGCCTGGGTCATGTCACTAGCTGACTGCGACTGGACAGGGCACAGTGGGCTGAGTGCTGTCAAGGGTAAAGTGGGATTATTCAGCCAGAGGGTTCTCAGCCCTGGGCAAACACAGCGACGCCCTGTGGCCTTCTGAGCCCCTGCAGACCTTGCAGTGCTGTGAGAGAGGGGGGCTCTGAGTCTGTGCTAGCCTCTGGTAGCTGTGTTAAGAGACGAGGAGCTCGAAGGCGGGCAGGTGCAGAAGTCGGCACTTCCTCTTTCTCTCCCGTGTACGCTCACAGGCTTCGTATCTCTGAGCCGCAATGTGAAAATCACACAATCGGCTGTTCCCCAAACTGGGCAGCAATTACAAATAAAACAGAAGACTTGTGCTGGGTGAGATGGAGAAGTGTCGGGTGCAAGCAGGACAGGTCGGAAACACAATTCCCGTCCTTGGGCTGTTGGTACCTGCAAAGTCCCTGGCCTCCTCAGTCGGCACTGCCCGCAGGGACGACAGGTCGGTCTTGTTGCCCACCAGCATGACCACGATGTGGGGGTCTGCGTGGTCATACAGCTCCTTCAGCCAGCGCTCCACAGACTCATAAGTGAGGTGTTTGGAGATGTCGTACACCAGCAGGGCGCCCACAGCCCCCCGGTAGTACCTGCAGGGGGGGGGACAGAGATGGAGTAATGAATTCGTGGAAGAACCTGCCGGTAATGGGCAGCGGGCATCTGGATCAAGCAGCCCAGCTACACTGGAGAAGCAGGTTCCCTGGCAACGATCAAGACACAACTTTGCGGTGGCTCTGCGCTAAGGATCTGGAGCTGGAAGGTTGCCGGTTCGAATCCCGCGGCCGGCAGAGGAATCCTACTCTGTTGGGCCCCTGAGCAAGGCCCTGAACCCCAACTGCTCCAGGGGCGCCATATAAATGTCTGACCCTGCGCTCTGACCCCCAGCTTCTCTCTCCCTGTCTGTGTCTCATGGAGAGCAAGCTGGGGTATGCAAAAAGACTGCAAGAAATTGTATATAGCCAATAAAGTGATCTTGCCTTATCATAGAATAGAAATGGTACCGTTCTGATGGCCACAGATACAGACTGCTCCCACCCCTCCCTGTCCTATAAGGTCTGGGCGTGAACTGTCACAGAGCGTTATTGGAAATATGTGACTCGTGCTGTGACTGTAATATGGAGCCCCTGAGCACTCCATCTGAATTATGACTCCCAATTATCAACATTCAGGCATGATGACTACTGCCACTACAGGCTGAACTGCAGCTAAAAACCATACCTTGCAAGTCTGGCAGCAGACTGTGATCTCCTTAGATCATACTTGGCTGTATTCATGGGCAGAATTTGATCTTATAGAGAGAAAGCAGGGCAGGTTCTGTTTTGTTTGTGTGGCAGCACAGTCTGAGGCTCTTGGGTCAGTTTCTTACTAAGCTGCTGCACGATCAGGCTTGTGTAAAAAGTGACCCCGTGTTTCCTCTTACACTACAACGTGATTGTCGTCATTAGTGGGATGAACAGTCTCACTGGGGGACGGGTGTCTGAAAAACGCTGCCCAACTGTGTCATCGAAGCAGATTCCTTACGATCTGTCAAGGTCTTTCAAGAAACGACTTTAAATTTGTGCAGAAACTACAAAACCTACAAACAGCAGCAGATCCAGATGGAGACTGCACAACTGCTGGATGAGGTCGTCATCTCCATTCTTTACTAAGCTTATTTCCAACTCCTCAGTTCTGATCAGGCCTGGACAAAACTGTCCAGATCTCCCTCTTTCAATACACAGTAGTTCCAGGATCTACTGCTGGTGTAACAAGTCTCCCAGCAGAAGATGAGGTGGCTACAGCACTTCACTGGCAAGAGTGTCTGGGCCTTTGATGTAAAAGTCCAGCATTTTTCCAGGAAGAGGATATTCCTATTGCCTTGTGCAGTCTAAGGATCTTAGCAATCTATTTCTTAGAGATTTCCAAGTTGGATTCATTGAGGATTAAGAAAACATGTATAAAAGCCAATTTTGGGGTAGTGCACTAGGAAGGAATCATTTAAAGGCTGCGCAGCACTCGGAAGTATCCTCTTCTCCACGCACCATGCTCAAAGACCCACCTTGTTATCTTTGTCTCTTGCACAATGGCAGACTCTTTGTTTCCTTTTTTATAGAAGTAACGTTTTTTGTCATGGCAGTGCTTGGCTCGAATTTCACTCGACACACAAGCAAGCGCTCAGAATTCCAGAGAACCGGCTCGACTGGCCGGGCCGCAGGCGAAGACAATTAGAGCACGGGACAACAGGGGTCATATAAACCAGCCCTTTGATTCCGCAGGGCCTAGGGGAGCAGGCAAAGAAGAGATCTGAGATCCCCAGCAGAGCTTTTAAATGTAGAAAATCAAAAGCTTAATGTCCTTCAGGCCTCATAGGCTGTCTGGTATTTACTAAATACTGGTTTTTGTTGGCTATACATAACATAAGGAGTTACATAACATCATTTTATTAGCCCTATACCAAGTTCTTGTATTAGGATTTGTCTTTTCACATACCCCAGCTTGCTCTCCATGAGACACACAGACAGGGAGAGAAGCTGGGGGTCAGAGCACAGTGTCAGCCATTGTACAGCACCCCTGGAACAGTTGGGGTGAAGGGCCTTGCTCAGGGGCCCAACAGAGTAGGATTCCTCTGCCAGCTGCAGGATTTGAACCAGCAACCTTCCAGCCACAGGCGGAGATCCTGAGCCCCAGAGCCACCGCTCCGCCTTTAGCCTGAAAGATCTAATTCCTGTATTGAAAGAAACATCAGGACCACTGCTGTTTCAACTCAATATAACAAACAGACTAGACTATATTGTCTAGTCTTAGCCTGATTGCCACAGTTTGTTGTTTTGCTCCTTGTTAATGCTTTGTCTTTGCATGGGGGCCAGTCCTGGTTCTGGGGAGCCCCGACGCTGTGTATTTTGTGGGTGGCCCTCTGCACTCACGCGGAGGTGATGGCGCGGTATCTCTCCAGGCCCGCGGTGTCCCAGATCTGCGCCTTGATGGTGAGCCTGTTGATCTGCACGGTGCGGGTGCTGAACTCCACGCCGATGGTGGTGCGGCTGTCGTGGTTGAACTCGTTCTTGGTGAAGCGCGACAGCAGGTTGCTCTTGCCCACCCCCGACTCTCCGATCAGCACCACTGCGCACAGGAGAGGGAGAGAGATGGCCCACATTCACAACTGGTCGTTATTGGTCACACATCCAGCAGCTGTATCGCCCTGCAGCTCCCAGCTGGTAGCCCCACCCCGAGGTCTGTGTGGGTCCTAATGCCCCACTATAGTGACGGGGACACTGTACTGTAGGCGCCGTCCTTCTGAGGTCCTGACTCTCTGTGGTCATTAACAATCTCAGGGTGTTTCTCGAAAAGAGTAGGGGTGTAACCCCAGTGTCCTGGCCAAATTTCCCCCATCATGGCCTCCTAATAACCCCCCTCTCTGAACTGGCTCCATCACTCTGCTCTCCTCCCCACTGAGAGCTGGTGTGTGGGGAGCAGACTGGCGCATCATCCAGGTGGGGCTGCACACTGGTGGTGCTGGAGGGGATCCCCATGACCTGTAAAGCGCTTTAAGTGGTGTGTATATAATTTGTAAGTAGTTATAATAATAATAATAATAATAATAATAATAATAATAATAATAATAATAATAATAATAATAATAATAATATGAGTGCTGGGGTCACTTGTCAACTTTGTATTATACTCAGAGAATCGTCATCACCATAATAACCAAACCATTTTTATTTGAATTACACCAGTATGATAGTGTGAAGGCCCAGTAATTCTGTACCAGCAGGTTTTATTTTCAGAGCTAGGACAGCCTGTTATCCATACTCATGGCTCTTACTGATATTCTGTTCCCTCCCTCCGCCACTGTGGGTGTTTTAATATCCACTGCCCAAAATCCACAAAGTCAGCACAGTAACCTGCAGCCCAGAGAAAGACTGGAAGATTCTCTTCTGCTTAGGCTTGTGAACTGCCCTCCTAGTGCTTTTCAGTGCACTTAACAACTCAACTATAAAAGTTAATTGTTTAATTGCTGCCTAATTAGCTGCTCTTTAAAAATCATTATGTAACAAGGCCCTATACTCCTGCTCCATGTTAACATAATTCCCTAGGGAAACGGGACGGTGTGTCAACCCTCATGAAATTCCCAGACCACGCAGCTCAGAGCTGGGAAGCTCCTGGGACGTAGTGATCATATCCTGGCAGAGCCACAGCTGTCCACAGCTGCACAAGGCCATAGGACAGAATCCCACACCCACAGCTCTGCACCTGCGTTTCACACTCTAGACATACAGGCGGAAATCAACAAGAGACCGGTCTTAAAAAGATTGCTCAATGACGGAGAATATCAGATTGATAAGGACATCACATTGATCAGACTTCCACATAGGAAAACTGAAAACAGAAACTCTAAAGCACCATATGTGCAAGAGCTTTATCAATAACGATCATGAAGAAGAACATAGGGTTGAGTTTGTCACTGCCTTTGAGGATTTAGTATTCTTGAATCTGGCTTCCTCTCAGTCTTCTCTAGATCAGAGCAAAGAAGATGAAATTCCTGGAATCTGGGAGGGAAGAAACTTTTGTTGAGCCCAGGAATGTACCGTGTCAATCTTCCAGATCATTTCCGTGAACGGTTTTTTAACATGACCAAAATTATAATCGACATATACCATCAATCCAATTTCCAGCCCCTTTATCCCTTTACAGGATCGTGGGGGAGCCGGTGCCTATCCCAGCAAGCAACAGGCTCAAGGTGGGGGTGCACCCTGGACAGAACTCTAGTTTATCTCAGCCCAGACACACAGAGATACAAACACACACACACTCACACCAGGACCAATTTTCCCAGACACCACTTAACCTACCAGTACGTTTTTGGGCTGTGGGAGGAAACTGGAGCCCCCACAGGAAACCCACACGAATGCAGGGAGAACATGCAAACTCCACACAGACAGCAACTCAGGTCTGGAATTGAACCCAGGGTCCCAGTGCTGTGAGGCAGCAATGCTGCCCTCTGTGCCATTGCCCCTCAATGTATAACAGTTTTAACAAACAACACTTCTTTTAAATTCTTGACTGAACTTTAACTACAAATCCCATCATTCTTTGCTGCCCTGGTTACAGATTTGGCTGTTCGGTTTTTCAGGTAGGAAGTGAACAATAGTATAGTTTGAGCTGTGAATGTTCTGGAGACTATCACTGCAGGAGTGTCTGCTTTGTTTTCAGTTGCACCCCAGATCCACCCAGTTCTCAGAGCCTCCACACAGTCTTGACAAAGTTGCAACATTCCAAGACACTCCCAGCACAGAATTTCCTACTGTCTCCAACTCCCACTGTGGGCGAGCTAATCAGCAGAGGCGTGAACAGAATGAAACTTATTGTAGCAACTGCTTTCGGAAACCTGGTCAATTTCGTAAGAACAATCCCAAATATCTGCCTTAACAGAAGTCACAACGAGCAGATTGGACCCAAGGAGTTACCAGACTGGTTTGAACTCAAGCAGGTGGCATTTTAGGAGTGACAAACGGAGGTGCATCTTTATCCAAACAGTGCTGGGTGTCTTAAAAAAGCCGCCCAGTTTATGTTGTTCAAGCTGATTTTTCCCGAATCAATCACCTACTGGCAGGAAAGCGAGATGACTTCAGCTGAATAGCCCCTCCCTTGCAACCTTCTGGATACCCCAATACAGTACTTACCTTTCCAGCAGGCTTGGGTAATGCTGGATGACTGCATCTCAATTAATTAACAGGTAGTCAAAAGAGATGCTGAATGAGTAATAGATAAAGAGATTTTTTTTACCCAATGTTCTTAAATAATTTACATGCAGCTACACACAAATCAGCACAAAACAGGATCACTTCCAAAACACAAAATCTGGTCTTGTCGTTCCCACACCGCAACCAAATTTCCAACTTTAGGGCATGTTTGGAAACAGGAATTGCAGGACTTTTCCTTGGACTGTGGGGCTGGTGGACACAGACAGCCATGTCGTATAAAAATGGGATTTTAGTGTTCCTGACCAACGCTTCCCTGAGGACAAATCCCGGTAATTCAACACTGTATCCGAGGACGGAAAGAGAGCTTTGAGCACGCGTGCTGGGCGATGCAAAGTATATTGAAATTGCATCTTATCTAAACAGCAAGAGCACTCAGCTGGTATGTGGATGCAGTTCTCCTACATTAAGGAAAAATAATACCCATCTTTCCACACAGATGCCTATTGAAAAAACACGTTGTGCCCATTCTCCGTGCCAGTTCTGGGAGCAGGTATCCGAACAGAAATAAAGAGTCTGTCTGTCGGGGGGGCAGCGTGTTAGTTTAGCAGCATGTGTAATTGTCAGGCATTCAGTATCACCACATGTAAATAATCATAATAATATGTTAAAAATAAACAATTATATACATTGCCTCTAAAATGGCTTTATCGAGCAGTTTACAGTAAGAAACAATGAGCACACAATGAGAGGAGAAGCAGAATTGCACAGTTACAGTGAGAATTTGGAATACAGTAGGAAAGCAAAGGGGCAGCAGACAGCCAGTTAAATAAAAGCCCTTCTGGAGAAGAAGGTTTTGAGTCTTGATCTGAAGGAGCTCAGGGAAGGTGACTCTGATATCCTTGGGGATAGAGTTGCAGAGCTTTGGAGCAGGAGAACAAGAGAAGGCCCTGTCACCCACAGAGTGTAGGCAGGCTTGGGTGACAGATAGGAGACCAGAGATAGAAGAGAGAAGGTTGTGAGGTGGGGAGTAGGGTGATAGTGACTCAGACAGGTACTGAGGTGCCAAGCCATGCAGAGCCTTGTAGGTGAGAATTTTGAAGTTGACACGAAACCTGACAGGAAGCCAGTGCAAGGACTCCAGGACAGGAGTAATGCGATCACTTGAACACGACCTGGTCAGGATTCTGGCTGCCGAATTCTGGACATACTGGTGTTTGTTTGATGTGGATTTAGACACCCCAGCGAGCAGGCCGTTACAAAATGGAATTAAGTATGGAATGGTGATTCCATTCAGATTTGAGCATTTTGCCTTTTTGTTGACCTTAATACCTGCACACCTCCCTGTGTGATGCACTGTATGGAGTACCCTTGTTAAGTACCCCTAAAGAGTCTGAATAATGCCTCCTGGGGGCCAGAGATCTCTTTCCCAGCCCCTCCTGGGTGAGGGGAGTCACTCTCTCTATGTTCTGTTTCCTGCTATGTGGACTTCAGGCTTCAGGTATGAGCCTCTCACATCATTGTACAATTTTAAAACAGCGTTCCTTGATTTTTTGCTCTTTACATTTTAAACTTAATGCTCTTTTTTCCTTTTTTATTGCTTCCTCCCATTCCCTATAAAATGTCATTTTATAACATGTGTCAACATAACCTCTTTCATGAGCAGCTTCTTCAAGCTCAGTGTCGTCCACAGTAGTAGTTTGTAGTTTGGCTCCTGGGCTACTTGTTTTGTGTAGAATAATACATTGCAGGCGGTGGACTATTATTTATTTGTAATGTGACATCCTGCAGTTTTGGGCTGGGCTGCTGTCGGTCAATAGAAAGACACCTCACCCTGCTTATCCGTTTTTTCTAATCCGCAGACCTTTCCCAATAACAGGCAGGCCCACACTAGCAGTCTCACGTCTGATCGGCCGTGCCTGTTGGACAGATCAAGCACAGCACAGTTGCAAGGCGTGGCTGTGAGACGCCCATTGCATAGCAGAGCAAGCCCTGAGCACCAGGGACTGGGTACAGTGGCTGTTAAAAGATCCAGTATCTGGAGCTGCTGCACGAGCCCTGTGTACAGACTGCTCCTATCACATATTTTAATGACCAAGAGCGTAGATTTGTCCAAATGGCAGCGCAAGTGGATCTGCTGTATCCATGCTAGAGATCACAAAGTCACATTCTACGATGGGACTTAGTCCATTCAGTGAATATACAGTAGCCTCCAAATTGACAGACTTGCGTTTTCGTTTACAGTACATTATTTTAAATTGTAGCCCCGAGTCCAGACTTCTGGAAAATAATCAAATCAATTTCAATTCTCATCAGTAAGAAAACGAAAGAAATATTATTCTTAGGAGCTTATGAGGCCTTTAATTATGGCTTTTCTAGGCTGGTTTGTGATGAATTGGTGCTCTGGGTTGATTTTGTCAGTACGGTACACTATGTTCGGTTAAGGTCCTCTCGAAATCTGCTCAGC